CCAACTGCTTTACTACGACGCAGTACCCCTGTCCCTGGTTCAAACTTTAACCGCCCTACCCTCACTGAACTTTCGACCTTTGTCCCCTGGGGTATAAAAGCACCCCACTCCATCGCCGGGATCGCCACTTTCGACTTCTTATTCTAGCCCACTTATTCTACATAATATTGCCCCTATTCTGGGGAGCTTCGGCTCCCCAGAGTCTCACCTACTTTTTATGTCTTACCATTTTATTTTACCGTGTATGGATAAATGTGTATATAGGACGCGGCGTGTTACATACACATATACACACACAGACCTGAAAGCGGGACACTCACTAATAAAATAAAATAACAATTAGGGTCGTGATAAAACAATGAATATCTCTGGTTAGAGAATTGGAAGACTGAAACTGAATAAGCCATGTATCGTTTTTATTGATGGTCATGGTATCATCAGTGTACTACGCAGCATTTTTTGGGTGGGAAAACTGCAAAAGGCTGACCAAGTCATAGTCCTGATCATCCATGAAATCGTCATCCATCGCTGATCCCTCCGCTGACCAGCTCGTATCCGCTCTTTACTGAAACACGCAAATACACTTAGAGGAATGCATAAAAATCCGAAAAGCACAAACCGCGAAGCCAGGGCCAACCCGTTGAAAATCGAGCAGAGCAAATATCTCCGGAGACAAGCACGCACAGACAGAGTAGCTGTGCAACAGCCTCAGAACAACCCCAAAATAAATGGCAACTCGCACCAGACTAGCCGGTGCGATCATGCGTTTTGTGTAATTAAGCCCATCGAACAATAGTCTATCAATGATTTTTACTGCTTTGTACTTTAGTCTATGCAAAAATAGTTCAAACACTGGAAAACAGTTAAAAATCCCACGCATCACCGCATGAAAGCTGAATTCGAAATCTTGAAGGGTGAATATCTTTCCGCAATTCCTACGTTAATAGTTCGCCCGTCAAAACTTTCACGAGGCCGTAGGTGGTCTCAAGAGCGCGGGAACGCTGAATTTGAATGGGCAAGGTTGAGCGTGGGCAGGGAGTCATTACCCTAAAATTTCAGCCTCCTAGACTCCGTGTTTCCTAAGATATTAATTTACCCGTAAAAAACTTTCACAGGGCCGTACGTGTTACCCGCGGGTACGGGGGAGCTGAATTAAAATATGCGGGGTCACACGTGGGTGGGGAACGTTCCCCTTAATTTTCAGCTTCCTAGCTTTTCTGGTTCCTGAGTTGAAGGTTGCGGACAAGTTTCTGCGGACACACACACAGGAAACATCGTGACAATATGTGTCTTGTACTGCTGTTACACAGCACAAAACGCGTAACAACGGATCGCAGAAAAACCCCGAGAACCCGTGGTGTCCGAAAAAGGCGAAAAACCAACACCCAAACAGCGCAACAGCGACCAACATTCCATCCGACGCATCGGCAACAGCTAAAACTCGGCAACAACAATTACTAAAACTCGGCCCAACTCGGCCCCCCCCCCC